GGGTCAAGTCAAGCTCAATAGCGAGCCGGGCAAGCGGGCTTTTGGGCCCATCCAGCACAGTGCCCACCCGTAGGCGAGCCCCAGCCGTGAAGCCCAACTGGAAATTTATTCCCATCAAGATCTGGAGATGCCTCACGGGAAGCCAAAAAACTTAGTAATAGTAATAATGATGTAATAGTAACAATAACGTGAGCCAAAAAACTTAGTAATAGTAATAATGATGTAATAGTAACAATAACAATAAGGGGGTGTTTGGTTCCTGTTTTTGGTGAGAGAAAGTAGGGGGAAAGCTACAAAAATGTTAGCTTTTTGACATCTTTCTTTCAAAATCGCCTCTTTAAAAAACGATTTAGGGGAAAAGCTATTAAAAAACTAACATTTGTTTACAGCTCTAAAAAATCAATCCAAACAAGACCTAATAGTAGAGTATAGATAACGGCACTGAGTCTGCACACACAACCCTGTAACATCTGCGTTACTTTTCGCCCGAAATAGACCAAAAATGAAATAAAAATAACCCACCGTTCCTCTTCCAAATCCTCTCCCATCTCTCTTTCCCTATTATTCTTCATTCTAATATTAACTTTGTAAATATCTCTAATCACATCAACCAGTCGACATCTCTTTTTCTTTGGTTTTGATTTTGGAATCGTTTTCAGGTGAGCAAGTTCTGCTCTTTTCTTCTTTTTCTTCATTCATCTGCGATAATTTTGATAATTTGTGACTACCCATGATCCAAATTTTGTGTTTTTTTGAGCTCATGCTGATGTTTGCTCAATTGGGTAAGTTCTTATTTGATTTTTTTTTTTAATTTTGTGCCAGCCTTGCATGTTGTAAATATGGGTTGGATTTTGATTGTTTTAATCTAGAAAATGTTATATTGAGTGAGGAATTTCATAGGTTGAGATGGGTTCTGTATTAATTTGGTATGGGAACTTCTTTTTATGTGGATGAAGTTTGATTTCATTTTCATTTGGAGGTGATGGACAGAATTGGAGAACTTCTTTTTATGTGGATGAAGTTTGATTTCATTTTCATTTGGAGGTGATGGACAGAATTGGAAATTTGAGATATTGTGATAAATTTATATGTTTGATTTCATTTTCATTTGGAGGTGATGGACAGAATTGGAAATTTGAGATATTGTGATAAATTTATATTTATTATGTGATCCTGGGTTCATTAAGTAGGGAGAGATGAGGTTTGTTGTTAATATGATTAGTTTTGGTTCTGGGATGTGGTAGATGATGTTGGTAAGTTTCATATTGGAGATGGATGTGGTAGATGATGTTGATAAGTTTCATATTGGAGATGAGGTTTGTTGTTAATATGATTAGTTTTGGTTCTGGGATGTGGTAGATGATGTTGATAAGTTTCATATTGGTTCTATTAATATTAGTTCTAAATTGTTGTTGCCTATGATATCGTGGTAGTTTGATTCTGGTTGTGACAGACATGGTTTTGGTAAGGGGTACTGTGCTTGTATCACAAGCTTTAATACTCCGTGAAGCATGTGATATTAAAACATCTGTCTTATAATTATCTCAGGGAAGAAAGTTGTAAGGGATCATATTCCTATTATTTGCCCTAGGTCATGAGACTATGGATTGTTGAATTGCTTTTTTAACTTTATGCTGTACATTGGAATGCTGAAGTACATTGGAACAAACAATTTCTTCTGTAAAGTTTCTGGATCACTTAGGTTTCATTCCATGTTTTCTCTTAATGAGTTTATCAAAAATTGTACATGGAATTGGTTATCATTGAAAATCTCGAGAGTACTTTCGAACCATGAATATACTTTTTTTTTTGGATGCGCTAGCGAGCAGTACTTCTCGCACGGGCAGGGATCAAGGTTTTTATTTCAATGGTTTATGAAATTCTGGAAGTAGGAGAGTACATTGATGAGGTGGATCTCCAAATGTGACTTAATGTTGAGAGTCTGGCAGAAATTGTTATAGGTGGGCTTGAGTTAGTAAAAGTGATTGGATAATTGCCACTGAACACTAAACAAAAAGAGAAAACTAATGACTGTAGAAGATTTCAAGGGGGAAAAAAGGAGTTTGGATGCCAAGTTGCTGCGTTATTCTATGGCTGTTCTTCTCTGTACTGCAATATTTCTCAATTCTATACTTTCCTACTGCATGCGTCTTGGTTAAATACTCTATTTAAAACTTGCTGTTGCAGCAACATTTGGTAATCCTAATTCCTGTTCGCTGGAACCCCTGAGCGATAGCCTGGCGTTGAGATCCCCTAAATACAAGAATCCTGGATAGACTAAAGAATCTTCAACTGTTTTATTCTTTCTTTACAGAACACTCAATCTGAAGGCCCATATAGCCTAAAATATACAGAGTAAAGCAGAAGAAATGGCTTTCTGCACATGCATATATTTGGCTGACACGGAGATATCTCAACTATGGAGAATTAGAGATATCTGACTGTGTTGGACTTTAGCTAATAACCTTCCTTTATCCTAAATTAATAATGCGGCTACCTCCAAAGAAACAAGTAATAGATGTAGTGCAAAATGAAGTTTTCTTATAACTTGTTACTTCATGTCAACTTCTTAGATTACACGCAGATTGCTTGATCAGTTTCTACTGGTTCATTTTATTGATGGTTCCTCTTTCTGAATGTAGAATTTTAATCTTGCCTCTTTTTCTAGCAGAGCAATGGATGGAAAAGCTTCTCACTCTGGATTAACTGACGCATTTGAATTCCTCTTGTTTGAGGAAGACCTAGATGATCTAAAATCTGTTATCTATAAACCAAACCGGATTACCCCATGGATTGATCCCAGTGCACTAAAGCTTTCACATCGTATAGGAAGAGGCCCTTTTGGTGATGTTTGGCTTGCGACTCATTATCATCGTACTGATGATTATGAACGATTTCATGAAGTTGCTGTCAAAATGATATACCCTGTTAAAGATGATCAGATTCAGGCTTTTCTTGCCAAGTTTGATGAAATGTTTTCCAAGTGCCCGGGTTCAGAAAATGTCTGCTTTCTGCATGGTATTTCAATTCAGAATGGAAGGGTAAGTTTTTTGCTTCTACGTGGTATCGTTTAGGGTGAATTTCACAAAACCCCTCTGAACTATATAAATCATAGAAACCTCCTCAACTTGTCTCACTTAAATACCATGACCGACGGATGTGCGAAGCATGAGACTATTTTTGGAATCTTACCTGTAGCTGGCAAATATAACTTCTCACTTTTCTGGTAAGGGTAGTTAGACCTTTTACTCCACACAATAAGCTGCTTATAAGAAATATCTAGTTCAAGGGGGTTAGTATAATTTTGAAAGTTAAGAGAGGTTCTTGAGGATTTATGAAGTTTAATGGCGGTTTGTGCTAAAGCCTCCCAAAGTTCATTGGGGTTTTGTGAAATTTACTCAATCTTTTATTAGGCGCATACCAATACTAGTGCAAGATATGGTTCACTTACCTTTATTGTCTTCAGCTATGCATAGTTATGAAGTTTTATGAGGGATCAGTTGGAGACAAGATGGCTCGTCTTAAAGGAGGGAAACTTTCATTATCTGATGTTTTGAGGTATTTGAGTTTATCATTACTGTTCTGTTACAAAGATTCCCTTAAGGTTTGTATGATTATAAAAAATCCCCTAAAGCTTTAAAAGTGACACTTTCTTTAGCACTCTTTTAGTTACTACAAAATTAACTTGGATGTAAAAGCTAAAATACTATGTGATATGGCAATTATAAGCACTCCCATATAAACATATATATGATTATTGTCATGAAAATTGATGATTATTTGACTAGAAACTGAAAATGAGTAGGGGTTAAAGTAAAATTTCAAAACCTTACGAGGATTTTCTAATAATCAAACAGACCATAGGGGAATTTTGCTTACCCTAAATCTTTCTTTCTTGAATAAGTTGTCTGGCTAAGTTTGTATATAACTTAATCTGCCTTATTCTTTAGATATGGTACTGATATAGCTCAAGGCGTATTGGAACTCCACTCAAGAGGAATTCTAGTCCTCAATCTAAAACCAAGCAACTTTCTCCTTGATGAACACGATCAAGCAATTCTAGGAGACTTTGGAATCCCATACTTGCTACTTGGGCTTTCTTTGCCGAACCCCGATTTAGTTCAATCAACCGGAACCCTGAACTACATGGCTCCTGAACAGTGGCAGCCGGACACTAGAGGTCCCCTTTCTTTTGAGACAGATTCTTGGGGTTTTGGATGCAGTATTTTGGAGATGTTGAGTGGCAATCAACCGTGGCGTAGTAAGTCACCAACTGAGATCCATAACTTGGTTGTAATAAATCAAGAAAAGCCCCAAATTCCAAGTGGATTGCCTCCTCAGGTTGAAAATGTTCTTTCTGGATGCTTTGAGTATGACTTTCGGAATCGTCCGCTGATGGGAGATATTTTGGAGGTGTTTAAAAGGTATTCATTTTTTTATTTTAAGCATTAAAACCATTGCCTTTGTTATTTCATCAATTCATAGAAAGCATTTGCATACAAGATTTAAGTTGTCCATTGAGTCCTCTGGATGCTGGGCTTATTCACAATCATTTGATGTTAAATTGAGTTTTTACAACATCATTTGCATTCTAAGAGTTCACTTATATTCTGATGCGTGTTTTCTTGCTCTGTTTATCTAGCCCACATTTCACACTTCCCTGTTATTATTACTGAAGTACTTAACATCTAACAAAATCACATACATTCTAGGAGTTTTAGCTTTTTTGATGTGGTTCTGAGTATTATTCAGTGGAGCTAATTATATAGTGGTGTACTGTGTGATTGGTTATTTACATGCTGTTTCCAGCATAAATTTGATTTTGATTGGTAAAACTTTAGGAAGAGAGATTGTACACGGTTATTTTGACTTTGGATAAACATATGATGAAGTGGCAGATAGAGAAATATTTGTAAGTAAATATGGCATCATCTGTATTGAGTTTCTTCAGATGTCACTAACATCCACCATAATATAGCAGCATCATCATCATCTCTCTCTCTCTCTCTCTCTCTCTCTCTCCCTCTCTCTCTCTCTCTGTTATAATCACAAAACTTCTCAAATTATATAGCTTTTATTTTTGGTCTATCACGACCTACATAGATGTTACCAACTTGAAGTACATGCACACGACTTATAAGAATCTATATGTAGCGTGGATACTTCTATCATGGAGCCCTTCGCTGTACGCGACAGATCCCATAACTGTACCTGACACACCCCTTACCCGTACCTGACATGTCCATAGCTGGCACTTCTTGAACACTTCTTAAATATATCCATATATTTATTCAGACGTGTACTTAACTATGCAATACATGTTTTAGCTTAAACACTCGTCATACACTTCTTGGACATATATCCTACACATCCAGTTTTGAAATTTGTTGGACGATGGTTGGGTCGTTTCAACCAATATTCAGTTAAGAACTACGATTGAAAATGGTCATTTGCATATGTAGCTCATAGTTATGATTTCTGCTCATGCATTTCAGCTGTACTTCTATACCCTACCTTTTACAAATTTGTTGTGTCCCGTACCCGTAACCGCACCAGCGTCCTACCCGTATCCATGAAACTCAGATAAGATTAGTGCTGATGGGATTCTAGGAACTAGTCCTAGTGTGAAATACATGAACTCTCCTTACCTTGACATTAACTAAAACATCTATAAGAATCATGAAAATGGAGCACATGAATAAAACAAAATATGTCACATATTACATTTCTTGTATATTATACGAACTGTACAACAATTTCCATGTCTTTATGTTGATTTATCCCATCAGATGTCAAACAACTAATTCGCTACAAAATTTTAGTTCACCTTAAATCATTACTCGAGTTATATGCACCTGCATACATGCTTTCTCGCCAGTTACAAGATTATGTCGGTCGCTAATAAGAGCAATTTCTTCCTCTATCAAGTTGCAAGGATGCAGTTTCTAATGATGAAGAGAGTTGGACTGATTTAGGGAATAAATCTACCCATCTCAACCTCACTGACTGGTCTCTCACAAAAGACCGTCTACAAATTGGCGACACTGTTCGTTCAAGAAAGCCCAAGAACTGTTGCAAGCCAGAGTGCATGATGATCCCTGAAGGAACCGTGGTTGGCATAGAAACTGATAATGACTCCAACAGTTTCATCTTCGTCAAGGTTCGTGGCTTTCACAATTCTCTAAGAGTCCGTTCGTCCACAGTGGAGAGAGTAACCTTCGGTTTTTCTTCTGGTGACTGGGTAAGAGTAAAGAATGAAGACAAAACCCGGAACTCTCCTGTAGGCATTCTCCATGGCATTGATCTTGATGGAAAAGTGACCGTTGGGTTTATAGGAAACTCGACTCTTTGGCATGGTAACTATACCGAGCTTCAAGTAGCTGAATCTTACTGTGTTGGTCAATTCTTGAGGATAAAGGGTAACGTATTGACTCCAAGGTTTGAGTGGCCTAAAAAAAGAGGAGGGAGTTGGGCAACTGGAAAAATCTCGCAAATTCTCCCAAATGGTTGTCTTGTGGTGAAATTTCCCGGACTGTTCAGATTTGGAGAATTAGGATTAGGGTTTTTGGCGGACCCGGCAGAGGTGGAGATAGTGAGCTTTAGTAACTGTGAGGGGGTTGTGAGGAAGTATCAACATCTTGAGAACTTCCATTGGGCAGTGAGGCCGTTGGTTATCGCTTTAGGTTTGTTTACAGCATTGAAGCTTGGATTCTTTGTAGGGAAGAATGTGAGCAAGTCTAGGAAGAAGAACATAGGTTGTGTTTCGGTGAAAGCAGAAGAACAGAACGAGAGCAATCAGCAGTGGGGCTGCCATCTTTCTGTAGCCAATATTCTCTTCAGAGAAGGGTAGAGAATTTAGTGGAGCTCTCTCTGCATGCCTGAAACTATTTTAACTCATGTTTAGAACCTTAAGGAAATGCTGATTCAACTCAGAAAATATATGTATATATATATATTACCAAAGGGGTTTGTGGACTTTCTTGTATGTAAATGTTGATTGTACTTGCAAAATAGCCATCTGACCAGTAGCATCACAAACTCATTGGCTTGTTTCTGATGATAATCCACGTTCAATGTTGGAAGCTGGTATGCACTTCAGAAGATCGCCAGTTTTCAGTCTATGCGCAAACTCACACGAATTGCAAATTTTTAGTTTTTAATAACTTTCAGATGTAAGTTGGCTAAATTATCAGATTGGTACTTTTGTACGCCCCTCTTATCAGGTTGGTGTTTTCTCTCTTGCTCCAACGATATTTGGGTACATTTTCCGTAAACCTGCAAGTAGACCCTCGAACTTCACGGCGGCGAGAAGAAAACGGCTAAATCTCTTTCCTCGTAGCAACCAAGTGTTCTTTTCTGTATATTTGAAGGCAATATCATGCCCATTTACTCCCTTGCAATGGCCCCAACATTCTTGCATGAGCTTGGACGTAGTTGTCATCGTTATACCAATATGCCAAATGATCTTTTGACACTTTCTTTATTCACTTCATGAATAAGAAGGATCTAATCATCATGCGAAGTTTTGCCACATTTTTTCATTTCTTTTTTATTTTGCGTTTTTGTTTTAATTGCACATTTGGCTCGGAAGAAATATCAGAACGTTTCTGGAGCTAGAAAAACTAATAAACTGGTAAGAAGGGTGTACAAAAAAAAAATACCGATTTGGTAATTTAGCGTACATATATTCATCTGTTTCAAATGGAAGGTTTCAAGAAGAAATATTTACAGTAGAGAAGAAACATGTCAGTTTAAAGGTCTATTCAGACAAGCACCTGTTTTGGGTTCAGATCTTCAAGATCAAGTGAGAAAAAAAATACGAAAATGGATTAGAAGGGTGGGTTGAGCATATAATTTTTCATATCTTCGTCAATCGTTGAAAAAAAGTAAACAGCCAAGTAAAATGTACGAGGATACCATCCTGAAAATATTATATTATCACTATTCACATAGCTATATTATATGCACGTAAATAACAAATGGAAACATATTCAAATTGTCCCATATTCATGAAGTCCCACACGCTTTCTCCTCCCCATCCTCTTCTTATATGATAAACCACAACATCATGCAAGAGTTGTAATGAATACAACAAGTTCGCCATCACCCCCCATTTAATTACAAAGCAAAGTTGCAAATACATAAATTTCACGGACAAAAACGGCTCCAACTTTCAAACCAAGGTCTGATAGTGAAAAAATAAGATCTCCGCCATTACCAGTCAGATATTTACCACGCAGGCTCCAAATTATAAGACCCTATTCTCATCTGACTACAGGTAAAATGATTAAATTTGGAAACTGTAAGACAACAATGATCCCTAAATATCACCACTCTCTTCTCCTCTTAATTATTTTAGTTCTTTTTGTTCCCAATTTGTGATTCACCCAAATATGTCAGGATGAAACCTTCCTGGGATCGGGCTGCTCTGCTGCTCCCTCATGAGACGCAGTCTCAACTCATAGTTCTCTATCTGCAACATAACCCGGAAAAAAAAGGTTCAATTAGAATATCAACAAAATGCACAAAGCATGAAAATACCAAAATGTTACCTGAAGCTTTGTTAGCTGCTCATCACGCTGAGATATCATCTGCTTCAACTGCTGCAGCTCTTGACTGCATCTCTCAAACTCTTCCTTTTGCCCGTGCAGGGTTTTGAACCCTCGTTTCCAAATATCATTCTCCTGAAGCAGCTTTTCAACTTGTTCCTTCAGCATCACATTTTCCTAATTTGACAACATTTTGCACCCTCAGAATTAAATTGAATTAACAAAAATGTCGAGATACTGGCTGATGGCATTAATGATGATACACATATGTACCTTTTGAAAGCTTTGAGCTGCTTCAGCACAAGCGCGTGTAACGATTGATTTTTCCAATCCCTCTAAAACCCTAGATGCGCGAGCCCTTGCGTCATCTATATTTGCAGCAGTGGACATCTCTCTTACAATCAGCTCAACCCATTCAGAGCCTGAGCTTGGGAGATTGCAGGCAGCAGATTGGTTCGGGAAAATATTGTTCTCACCCGTATGATTCACACTGCCTATCATGTTTTCAATCATAACAGTGTTTAATAAGTTATATTGAAGAAATATAATGACATGACACGTTTTATGTAAGTGATGTGCTTGGTTACAATGCTCTGTTATGATGGCCTAGTACGCGAGAAGTAAGGTGCACAGAAATATCACATGTAAATCCACTAGGGCCTTTTGTTTTCGCTATAGAGATTTCAAAAATGAAAAGAACAATAAAAAAATACAACCAAGAGAGAAGCCTTTGGCAAAAGAATAAAAAAAAATTATATTTGAAATTTCTCTTTTCTTTTATGAACCTGCAGCCAAGGCAGGGGAGTTCATACACCTATGCCTAGAAATATCTGTCATACTCTTGCCCACAAATACCCAAGAAAATGTGCATGTCAGCCAAGAAAAGACAAGATTGAGGCGATAAACTTAAAATTAGACAACTCACTTATATATTACAGAAGAGATATACTACTATACATTATGTTAATATTCAAATACTCCTGTCATCCTGTGCCAAAAACAGACAATGCTGCTGAAGGCATTTGTATATCACAACATTTGCAGTGAATTTCATGTAAGATACAACTAAGGTGACTATATGAGCGGTACCTCCTTTAGGTACGGGCAAACCATGTACATCTTTGATCCACCCTTATGTAACCAACTAAACCTGACCTTGACCTAGTGCATACTGAAACCATGTACATCCTTGATCCGCCCTTATGTAACCAACTCAACCTGACCTTGACCTAGTGCGTACTTGATAGAAAGAAAACAACTTATTAACTTAACGGACACTCAGTTTGGCAAATCTTCCCATCTAAAACTCAAACCACCCAGTTGCTTCCCAAGCATTTTCATATGTATAACAATCTAATTCTACCTTTCAGCCAAAAAATGCAACTATGTCGGCTTGCATATAATTCATATAAATCGTCAATTTTTTTCTTTTTCTTTTTACATGACTGGAAGGCTGAAAGAAGGTATTTATAATTATCTTATAGCCTTACCCACATGAAGGAGGTTTGCTGTGTCAAAAACAAAATAAAAATAATAATAACAATCATAATAAAAACAATCTAGCATCACCAAACTAGTTCTTGGAGAAGAACAATAGTGGATAAGAAGGGGTCATCCAACAGATCTAGAAGCCCAGATGGCAGGTAAGAAAATCTAGATTACTAGTTCATGCAGGCTTAGGTATGAAAGCACAAGAAGAATTCGAAACCTTGTAGCTAAAGAAAAAGAACACGAGATAGGAAGGCTATTAGATTTACTACTGTAGACTGTGATCACATATGGGTTATATTACGCGACAGATGCAAAACTGAACAATATGCTGAAGTACGAAACTGAACATCCCCAAAAGAGAAACAAGTTATAATTGTAACATTGAGCGACGATGAAACTCGAGATTAGTCGTTGAAATAAACCATTTCACCTAACTGAGATGGCTAGGTAGCAAAGATGGATTTGTTGATAATTTTTTTTGTTGATTCAAAGAAAAGTTGTGCATTGATCCTCGGAATATTAATGATCACCTTCTCTTGGTCAACGCAAAGAGAATAGCCTATTCTTCTGTATCTCACATGGGTTTCATAATTATAGGAATTGGTTCTATACCCGACATGGGACCGGATCGGGGTGAAGACCAAAGATCTTGAGCGACTGACCGGCAGAACAACTCAAAAGATAAAGAAGTATCGTTAATTTCTTCATACTCGTTCCAAACCAAATTCCAATTGAAATGAAATCTGTAGGAGGAATCAATGAAAATCTTTAGGAGGAATCAATAAAACGACATCAATTCAAATTTTGTCCCTCCCGTGTGACGACATGGGGACGTAAAAAGTGCGATCCTATCAACTTGTTCAGACCTAGGATAATAAGCTCATGAGCTTGGTCTTACTTCACCATCGAGAAACGAAAGAAGACTTCAATATCGACCTAGGATAATAAGCTCATGAGCTTGGTCTTACTTCACCATCGAGAAACGAAAGAAGACTTCAATATCCAAGCTTAGCTCCGAAACAATTTGGACCTTTTCGAAGATTGGATGCAGGTACTAATTCATGATCTGGCATGTACGGAATGAAAATTTTATTCTCGATTCTACGATAATTCTTATCAAAGGGTTTCATTTGCTTCTCTTCCATGGAAGTTTAGACCCAGGATTCGATTTTATCATTAATCCAATCACCGTTTATGTTTTTTTCTTATCAACGAATAGATCTCTTTACTTGTATGCCTTAGATGTCTCGTATTTCTCGATCGGATTTTGCATTTTTTTCTTATGCGGTACCTCGGCGTGACATTAGCGCAAAAGATGTTTAAAAATCAGTTTTCTTTTTATAAGGGCTAAAAACGAATCTCAACGTATTTCTTTAGACAAATACACCATTTTTTCTCTCTCCGGTTGGTAAATATTTCTCAAAATTTTTTTAATTATAACTGTCACATTATCCATCACTTTCATCCAACCGTTTAATGAAATCCAGTCTGATGCAGACATTTCTTTAAACTCAACAGATTTAAGCATGCCAGACGTTGTTACAAAGCCATCCCTGAATGAGAGAACTTAATCCTATTGATTGCGTTTCTAGAGCACAGGTGCTCTCCCTCTCACTTGCAGACCATCCTTGATATTTTTCATTCATCCAGACTAGTGTGACTAAGATAAAACAAAATCAATTTCAACTTTTTCACCAGGTTGTCACCTAGTAAAATGCTCTTTCTAACGAATCTAACCTATGAGAGAGAGCTCACCTTGTGCGCACTTCCCTCCTCATCCACCAATCACATGCACACATATAAACCCCCTGCTCCCAGGAAAAGGATAAAAATAAAAGTAAAGGACCATACACAGAAATACAAATCAAAGAAATCTTAGCAAAATCAAACAATAAAACAAATACACACAAGCATCCAACTAACTGGTTAGGTTACTGAGAATGTGAATTCTTTTGGACATTTAGCTGTTATAGTTGCCAGGGTGAAGCAATTCATGCAAAAACAATCTCATCATCTAAATTATTCTTCTGTACTTGCCAAATTAGTCTTTGAGCCCCCACTAAGTTAGAGCTTAAACTGTGTGACAAAGAAGATAGGTCTTGCTATCTCCCAACCAACATATATGTTTTACTGCAAGGCTCCCCAGCTGAAGTTGCATTTTTCGGATCCCAACATCAACTTACACAAAAAGGTTGATGCAGATAAAGTGCTGGCCATACAAACTAGGATAACACAAACTTTTCTACTTACCATGCTACAGAAAGATCCCATTTGGATGCAGAAAGACTTCAGAGATGACAATGGATAGCCAAGTTCAACCAAATTTGAAGTTAGCCTGCATCTTTATAACAATTGCTTTGAGTTTATCCCTTCAGTGCCTTCACACACTGCCTCCATAGTATGTCAACAGGCACACTGGCACAGATATTGGAGAACTTAACAAGGGTTATAACTCGGCTAAATTTTATTTACAAAAGATAACACCCAAACCTCTAGTCTGCTTCAGTTTGAATCTAGCCTTCATTGCATGTGTGTAAACAGACTTGACAAAGTCAGCACTATTTGTGCATCATGTACCAAAGATGCTGGGCAGCATACATGCAACATGTACGTAAAAAAAAAGATAACAAACTGATCTCTCCAATGCATTTTCTGAGAAAGATCACAAGATGCAAACCCGAACCATGATAGTCAATTGACACTATCGTTTCATCTCTTTGTTGTAATCATTGTAGAGGTGTCACCAACATGACATCATCAGGAGGACACTTTTGAAGTTTACTAAAGTTACATCAAATATTCCATAGGAAGCCTGGCTCATTTTTTTCCCCTTTAAAAGCAAGTGCCTTAAGAAGCTTGTTGTATATTGTTTGACTAATTCAACTGTAGTTGGTTATTAACTTAGTATTAATCTGATGCCACATGATGCACATATAACGTGCCAATCAAAATAAAAGACTAATCAAACCTCACATTCTTAGAGCAACTCTAGGATAATCCTTGCCATTCGCAATTGGTCTGTAAGCATGTAGATGCCTTCTCAATTAACTGTTGGATGAATATCAATATCCGCAACGGACATGTATGTACTTCCCAGTTTTACATCCAAATCCTTCAGCAAATTGAACCCTCTTACAAGAAATATTCTACACTCAAAAATTTTATCAGTCCTTAAACATGTGACACAGAGCTTGAAAATGAACCGAATCAGACTGTTCACGCAATGCAAGAATTCAGTCAGCAAATATCCAGCTGAAATAGAAAGATAAAAATAAAGCTGCATCTCACAGAAAAGATATACAAGTCTTCCTAGTTTGGTGTTAGAAACACCAACCTACTGGAGATCAAATATCTATAATTTTGATAACCTGAAAACTGAAAATTTTATTCTACTCCTGTTCTAACAATGCTAAATCACTTCCAATGAAATGCTTTGGGACTCTTCAGTCTATGACCAGTGTGATGACTGACTTGAACTAAGCTATCATGTCTAAGTCAGGCCCAGCAGTATAAACAGTTAGGAATGAAGTGCAAGAGACAAGTAAAGCTGGAAGTTAATTATACTAAACTTCCAATAAATAGAATAGCATAGCAGGATGCCCTCGACAGGTATAGGAGAACTGACATAATGGTAATACAAAAGCTAAAACAGAAACCAGTTACAAGTTCACGGGATTTGAACAAAAGATTTAACATACATTGCATTGCATATCCCAGTTGATAATGAGATATAACACAAAAGTTGAGTATGCCTGCCAATACATAATAGGTTTAAAGAATAATTTATTGACATCCAGAATAGTGAAGGTAAAATATAGACTATGTATGCCATTCAAACAAAGGATTCTAGGTTAATTTTACTTTTGCTAAAGGACATCAGAATGTCAAATATACTTTTCCTCCTGTACATCTTGGATTCTTGGGGTACTAAGATAGTTACTGGAACAAATAAATGCTTTTTTATTCAAAGATCTGGAAATGTTGGAGATAAAGTTGGGCTCAGATCCAGACCTAAAGTAGGTATGGTCAAGAGTAATATTATGAACGATAGCAGAGTGTCAACCTGTGTATTTTGGTCAAGACTAGCTTAGTGCTGTAAACGTTACAGAAGAAACTTATGGGTAAAGCCAAGAACCTAGTAAAGGCCAGAGACTCAGAATAAAGGATGAGATATTATAAAGCCTGGATAAGGTAAGGATTATGTGGAAATGGCTTAGACCGAGAACTCGGAACATGCATGGCGTTAACATCAAATAGAACATATCATAGAACCGATTGCTTTCTGTGAATTTAAATCTAAAATTATGGGTAGAAATAGACCATCCAAACTAGCATCAGCCAAGTTTCGACAAACAGTCCAGTATTATGTATCATGGGGGAGAATAGTAGGAAATGACTTACTGAGTAAAACAAAAGCAATTAAGCAATATATAACGGTAATAGCCTATAGAAACAAAACAGTTTGCAATTATATGATTGCTCAAGCGCTTGGGCATTGGTTAGTACCTTCAGGTGATTGCCAAACACTGGCTTCAGTCCCAATACTAGCTTTGTTGTTGTTAGCCAAGTCCACTTCTTCCCTTGATGACACCAGGTGAAGATCATTCAAATTCTTTATTGCAATGTCCAAGTCATTGCCCGATACCTCAAGAGCTTTCTCAAGCAACTAAGATAGCACAAATACAGAATATAAGCTATATACTATCAATTGTCAGAAATTAACATATGCTTATATCCGACATAAAGTAAAAGGTCAACACGCAGAATCAAATACCAAGTTATCAGCTCTCGACTTCATAAAGAAAGAATGCTAATAATTATCAGATTAAATGGCTAAACAGAAAAAGATTAAAAAAAGAATTGATAGAACACATAAGTGGTAACGTCAATAAGCATCATCAGGAAAAAAAATGCAGGAAAAAATTGTATCTTAAATACACATACTTGGCATGACTTTCAACATAGATGCATTCCATCTGCAAAATTTCCAAACTGTGCTAATAAAAAGCAAGTGAATTTTAAAACTGACAATCGGTAGGTATTTTTCCTCTAGAGATCAAATGCATACCTAATCCAGTACAGTGGTCATCCTTAAATCAATCTAGACTTCTTACAGAACACATTGGTCTCAGATTGAGTTTAGTGCACAACAAGATTAGATTCTTGTATTGCTTCGTTCTTATGAAATCTAGTAATACTTTGCGAGCATAATTATTGCATGAGACATCTGACTATGCTCTTATGGCAGGGATTCTCATGCCTTGACCACGTGCTATACTTCAAACCTTTGTCTACTTTAAATGATAAGAACTTTCTTGCAATTCATCATTTAAATATACATGAATCATTATCTTGAAATCCAGTGTATAAGTATGCAAAACAGGCATCAACCTTCTTAGTTCGAGTACATCATAAGAGTACTCAGATCCAGAGAACTTTCACGAGGAAGTTAATCAGGACTCAAAAGGCAAACACTAGGCACAAATTTACAGTGTGAACGTAGGCTAAATTAAAATAATAATTACTCTTGCACGTGACTGAAATTCTTGTACTAAAGAATTTTCACGTCCCGAACTTTTCACTAGTTTTTACTCAAGCCTCTCAAGTTTTTATTTAAGCCTTCCAACTTTTTTACTAATTTCTGTAAATACTAGATGAACTAGAATTAAGATAAGAAATTTTTCTCAGATATATTCACAGAATTAAATAACTAATTTTTAGCAAATTATTACTTGCAGCGCTTCGCCAGAATTTACTGCAATTTGTGCTCAACTTTCCAAAACTTATTCTTTTTAAATAAATCCAACAAAAAAAGTTAACGAAGAACAGGAAGGGGGGGGGGGGGGGGGGGAGAGAACT